TGACAGGCATAATGACCCCTACAGTAACACGTATAACGAGGGGTAGCGCCAGCATCCCAACTTCTCCTGGAGTGCAAATAATCCTAAGCCACCAGTCTCCCAGGGACCTCCAGGTTTCCAGAAACCGCCATATCAGCTCAGGCATGGGAAATTCTAGTAGTCACAGCAGTCTCTTTACCAGCCCATGCAGGGGCAGGCTACTCAACTACAACCGTGAACTTACCAGCAGCCAAGTGCATCTCTTGCAACCCCAGTGCAGAATGATCCGATAACTGAACTGCGGGACTTGGTGGGTTCTCTTGCCAGTTCCAGTGCTCATAAATTCAACACTATCGAGCAGTTAATGGAAAAGGCCTCGAGTAAATTTATAGCTCTTGAAGCTGGCCAAAGGAAAACACAGGTTGTTTTGCAGGATATCCAAACCCAACTGCAGTCCCACCTGCCCTGGCCAGACAAGCGGGAGAGAGACCTGATTAGGCATTTCCAGCTGTTGAACAAGAAATGAAAAAGGAGGTTGAGGTGCCTGCTCCTAAGCCGCAACCAGTGGTGAAAGAGTATGTCCCTCAACTCCCCTTCCCTACTCAGTTGCACAAAGACCCGCTAGAGGCAGAGTTCGGGAACTTCATGTCCATGCTTAGGAAGCTGAATGTTCAAGTGCCCTTCCTGGAGGCACTATCTCAAATGCCTAAGTATGCGAAGTTCCTGAATGATCTTCACTCGAAAAAGCAGAAGCTGAGCGAGCTGGCCACTATGGAGCTCAGCGAGGAGTGTTCGGCAATCTTGCTAAACAAGCTCCCACAAAAGCGGAAGGACCCAGGTAGTTTTACTATCCCGTGCTCTATTGTTAATTTGCATGTAGAGAGGTCCTTGGCTGGTTTAGGCGCAAGTATCAATGTTATAGCATATAAATTGTTCAAGAAACTAGGCCTAGGTGAACGCAGTGCAACTAGGATGAGTATTCAATTAGCTGACCGATCTTTAGTTCATCGTAGGGGCATAGTGGAAGACTTCCTGGTTAAGGTTGGCAGATCCTTTTATCATGTGGATTTTGTTGTCTTTGACATCGATGAAGACGCAGAAGTTCCCCTTATTCTAGGTAGGCCTTTCCTAGCCACCGCCAAGGCTCTCATAAATGTTCATGATGAGACCCTGACTTTGAAAGATGTCAAGGAGCATATAACATTTTCCGTTGCTAATAATATGAATGTTATCTCTCCTGTGCATGCTTTATCTCACCAGGTACACGAGGCTGTCGTGTATCCTTCTGTGTCTCCCATTTTGCAGGACTTTGCATCCCCTCCTCCTCCACCCCTCCCGCTTTCTCAGTTACAAAAAGAGAGGATTAAGGAGGAGTGGCGGCCGAAACTGCAGGTAGCTAAGCCTGCTCGGAAGAAAGTTGGAGACCACTATGAGTTGGTCCCGACTTCTGAGCCACGACCTCCTTGGCCATCCGAGTATTCACTCGCTTTCATCCTGCCGGATGGCCAGGTCGAGTTGACGAGTGCTGGTGGTCACACCCGTCGTGTGCATGATCCGCTCTTGGAGGCACCTGTTCCTACACCTCTCTGAGCATCCACTCTATTGGCGTCCAGCTAAAAGACGGTAAAGAAGCGCTTGTGGGGAGGCAACCCCACCAAGGTTTGTTTTCGGTTTGTTCACTTAGAACTATGGTTTCTATCAACCAGTGTGTTTTGATGACTCTAACCCTGCTGACTAGTCCCATTTCTAGTCCCCGATAGTCCGTTTTCCCGTAACATCGTTCCCCTTATCTTTCCCTCTGCTCCATTTAGGGCAATGTCGTGCTTAAGTGTGTGTGGGGGGGGGGGGGGTATCTATTTTTGACTGCTAGATGAGTTTGTGTGCTTAGAGCCTAGTCCACTGTCCAATTTGATAAATTGAGGGCTCCAAGTATTGTTCCCTGCAAAATCCTGCACAGTATGCTTTGAATTGACAGTCTTTATGGTGATATGCAACCTAGGGAGGTAGTTGTAGCTCTATGAAGGATGTTGAAGTATAAGATTTTTCCTATCCATCTCTCTGCTGTGCTGGTTGATTCTGTGAACTAGTGGATTTAGGACTGTTGATTCATGTGGTATTGATGACTCGTCTTATGTTGCGATGTGGACTTGTGTATCGGAAAAGGGTGCTCAAGTGTGAAATGAAAAAGCAGTTGGTCCTCCATGTCGAAATTTTAAATATTAATACATGGGGTAAGCCCAACGTGTGTGGCACCGTTCATTGCACAAAATAAGGTTTTGGAAGATATTTTAGTGATCCTTGGTGGGGTAGGCCTACAAGGTGAAGCTAAGTTGTCTCTAGTACAAGTAAAATTTCCACCCGTTGAAAGATTTGCCTACTCGAGGATGTGTTTTTAACGGCACTGATAGAGCTTTCGACCCCCCTTAATTTTATTGATCCTCCGCACGAAGTGAGGAATAGGAGTTAAAAGAAGTACTCTGGCAATCGACAGATGTATTGAAATTGCTCTTGCTCACCTAATAAGGGCAGACCGCGCATACAAACTGCAGTTGGAACTCCAGCAAAGTAAAACAAAAGAAAAAGAAACGAATAATAAGAAAAGGGGTTCCAACAAGTGAAATGAAATGAAAGAGCACCCGATACAGAGAGTCATTGGTTGTTGAATTGTTTGAGTCTCCCTATCCATGAATTAGATTTCTTAGTTCGACTGACTCTCATGATCCTAGCTTGAGTCTAGTACTCGCATTGAGAGAGATAGGGGACGTCTTAGAAGACTAGTTGACCTCGTAAGCTGCTAAATGATCTAGGAAATCCTTTGTCGACGATCGGGGTGGCGTGTTGCTATAGAGGTCTGGAGAGCTGCATTGGTTTGAGTAAGGTTTTCTTTGGGACAAGCATACGGTTAAGTGTGGGGAATTGGATGACTTGATATATACACATGTTTTTGTCCACCATTACTATACTGTTTGAGTCTCATCTCTCGTGTTTTAGGCTGATTTCAGGCTAGGTAGTTCTTGTTTGTGATATTTCAGGTCCTGGTACGTGAAGGAAGGTTTGGGCACGAGTTCGGGGGTCAATTGGACGAAGTTGGGACGTTTGAGGAACCCCTTTGTGCGGGCAAAGCCACACTGGTCGTGTGAGGGCCCTTTTTGGCCGTGTGGGATTTCCAGAGAGTTCACACGGGTAGACCTAAATTCCACACGGTCGTGTGATTTTGGCCGTGTAGCGTACGTGGAGTCACTAAATAGAACGGCGTTTTGGAGAGCCACACCGGCAGCTGGGGATTTCACACGGCCGTGTGGCCTGACCGTGTGATTGGGCAGAACTGGGTTTTTAACCCAATTTCGGGTCTTTGAATAGGAGAATCGATTTTCATAGCTAGAAACAGAGCCCTAGAGAGAGAAAGTGCGAAGAACAAACCCTAGGAGTGATTTTGGAGCTGGGTTTCATCAATCAAGCTTGGATTTCATCCTTGGAGTGAAGATTATCATCCCAGAGAAGATCCTTCTCATTATGATGAGTATGACTGCTTTTTATTCTGTTTCTCTCTCTCTCTCTCTCTCTCTCTATGGAGTAGAACTCTCTCTCAGTTGGGTATGAAGAACCCTAGTTCCATGTGTAGGGATATTGATTGTAATGACGTTTGGATTGTAATACTGCTTGATTATAATAGATTGAAGTGTTTTGATTGAGTCAATTGAAGCCTGATGAACTTTTCTTGATTTCTGCTGCAACCTGAGATAGATAGAATCCAATTAGGTTGTTAGAGCTTCTTCAAATGGTGGTAGTGAATCGATTATACGAGAGTTAGTCGATTCACTGCTTTCTCCTGGAATCCAATTCCACTAGTGGAGTTCTGTGTTAATTGCCTCAGCGTTCTATCCTGGTGAAGACTAGTCGTCTACCAGGTAGTCTGTCTGAGAGGGCTTGGTCAGTTTAAGAGATTCCAAGCTATTGTTGGGTCTTCTGCAGTTTAATCAACAGTAAATCAACCAAAGGAAATTACAACTTTGACCCAACTAAGGAGCTAGGGGGACTCATTCCCGAGTGACTCTTCTCTTGCTTAAGAACTTCGAACCATTTCCTTCTTTCTTACTGCTTTTGTTTGCAATCACTCTCACTACATTTAGTCCAGCTAGATAACAGGTGGTCACAAAGTAGGCAGTTGATCTAGACCCCGGGTTGATAAATTGAACTTGCCACTATTCTGCATTTCCATTCTGCGATTGCACTTGGTCGCAATCTGGTGTTGTGTTTTAACGTGTCACAGTACTATACCTCTTAGGAGTTCTGATAGGGTTCGTGATCCTCCCAAGAAGTTAAGTGATTATGTTTGTCCTAATACTAATGCTAAGTATCCTCTATCCGAAGTTTTATCTTATAGCAGGTTGTCTCCTTCTTATCGGCGTTTTTTATGGCTATAACTAACACGACGGAACCAACCATTTACAATGAAGCTTTCAAAGATCCTGGGTCGGTTGAGGCTGTGGACTTATAGCTCCTAGCATTGGCTAACACCAATACTTGGACTCTAACTCCACTACCTCCAGGTAAGCATGCTATTACTAACAAATGGGTGTTTCGTATTAAATTCAAACCTGATGGTAGTATAGAATGCTATAAAGCTAGGTTAATTGTCAAAGGGTACACACAAACTGCAGGTCCTGACTATTTAGAAACTTTTTCTCCAGTAGCAAAGCTTACTATTGTTCGTGTTTTGCTTTAGCATCTATAAAAAAATTGGCATGTATAACAATTAGATGCCAATAAGGCTTTTTTACATGATGATTTAGACGAAGTCTTCTCTAGGCTTGCATTTACCCTCTAAGGATCTAGTTTGTAAACTAAATAAGTCGTTATATGGTCTTAAACAGACTAGTAGACACTAGAACCACAAAATTAGTCAATTCCTTCTAACTGCTGGTTATACTCAGTGTAAGGCAAATAATTCTTTATTTACTAATCTAGTTTAGGAAAGTTTCTTGCTGTGTTGATATAAATGGATGATGTGATCTTAGCATGTGATGATTTAGATGTTATTAACCTACTTAAGTCTCAACTAAGTGCTGCATGCATTCAACATCAAGGACATCGGTCCACTCAAATATTTTCTAGGAATAAAAATTGCTCGTACCTCTGCTGGTTTTCCATTTATCAACAGAAGTATGCATTTGATTTGCTTAATGATGTAGGTTTGCTTGTGCAAAACCAGCCGCCACTCCACTAGTTAGTGGCATCTAACTTTCCCTTTATGATGGTGAAACTCTTCTTGTACTTGAACTTTATCGTCGACTTGTAGGACGTCTTTTGTACCTTTGTCACACACAACCAGATATTGTTTATGTTGTGCATCATCTCACTCAATTTATATGTAATCCCACTTCTCCGCACCTCAATACCACATAGAGTTCTTCGTTACCTTAAAAATAATCTAGGCGAAGGTCTATTTTATACTAGTAATTCCTCTATTAAACTTACTGGATTTTCATACAGTGATTGGTCTGGCTGCTCGAATTTTTCTCAGGTCAACCACTGGCTATTGTGTATTTTTTAGTGACTCTGTTATCAGTTGGAGATCAAAGAAATAGCCTATTGTTTCACGATCCTCAACTAAAGCCGAGTAACGTGCAATGGCGGACCTGACATGCGAAGTGTAGTGGTTACATTACATTCTTCAGGATTTAGGTGTTTGTTTTACTTCTCCTACCATACTGTTTTGTGATAAACAGTCTACTCTTAGGTTAGCTGAGAATCTTGTTGCTCATGAACGTACTAAACTTATAGAAACAGATTGCCATATCATTCGTAATTGTATCTTGTCTGTATTGATCAAGGTGTTGTTTGTTAATAGCAAGAATCAACTAGTTGATGTTATCACGAAGTCTTTGGCAATTGCTGTGTTTGCAGGACTCATTTCTAAACATAATCATTGGATATTCACGCTCCGACTTGCGGGGGGCTGTTGGAGGACTCCAAGAATGAAGAATAGTTGTTTAGGCGCTATAATATAATTTTTTATTTATGTACTTAGTTATTATTTGACAGTTAGTGTATATATATAATGTAATAAGACTGTTATATCTTTACCATTTCATTAATAATACAAGTAGACTTTTTCCTTCCAAAATCAACCAAATGATAAGCAAGTAGTGTCATGTACACGGCTGCAAGGTTTTATTTCGTTACGTGTATTTCTCAGGTGAGAACCTTCACGCAATGTGCGTCGTCGAAACCAATAGATAAATGTAAGAAATAGACTTAGAACGAAGAGAATTGAGGTGAAAAAGGGATAAACTACAAACTATCATTAAATTCCAATCTTCTCATATTATTAAACTACATATTTATAGGCATACAACTCCTTTCTTAGAGGGTAAATGCAAGCCTAGAGAAAAAGTTTCAAAATACGAACTAATTAATAAAACTACTAAAATAATATAGATACGCAAGTCCAACTTGAAACCCAATAATTAAGATTACTTTATTCTCGTAGCATACTTAGCTATTGGCGTGCATGCAAAGTCAACCACCAAAGGTAGGGTTGCAGATGTCGTAAAGCTCATACCTTAGCGAACATATATCCAACAACACGTTCCCTCCAGATCTGCTGGTGCATCCGTCTTTCATGCGCTTGACGGCTCTGCCGAAACAGTCGGGACAGCGGTCCTCAAAATCCCTGCCGCAGCAGTAATATGAGTACACAGGAGGCTCAAATGTTATTCGGTGACAGCCTGTCTTCCTGCCGTTGTCGTAGATATTAGATTGCGCGAGTGAATCCAGGAAAGTAGCTTTGAAATTCATAGGGTTTTCCACTTTGAAATCGTCTGGGTTGCAGAATCCGTTACTGTTGCTTGCAGTGCACAGGCGCTGGTCGTCTTTGGTGCCGCACAAATCCATGTTCTTGCCGGAGCTAAGCCGGCGACAATAACACATGATCATCACGACCAATACCTGCAAAATTACTGATCGCGACATTAATTATATCACGACTATATATCTTCTGGCGGTGGTGTGTTTGATGAATGAACTGAACGAAGCCATAATCTCATATATATGTATATATGGAATCCAGCTGTGTTGTGCTGCTAACCTGCTATAGACTCTGCCGGCCTAGTCTAGGGCCTATGGACTTCCAAAATTATTCAAGGGTGGAGATTCCAACTGTACGTCATTAAAAGTCAAAACACTTTTAAAATGTTGTTATTCTTAAATCTGTTAAAGAGAAAGAGTCTGGTATTTGTTGTTGCTAGTAATAGGACAAGTAACCCAAGTTTAAAACACGGTTCAATACGACAAAATACCTCCAAACGGAAAACCATAGTTTATGCATTGCGAGAAGAGTCAACTCTCTTAGCACCTCTAGAAACAAAACACATAATTCACGTATTATTTATTTAAGTAAAATTAAATTTATTCATGCCATATTTATTTAAGTAAAATTACTATTATTCACACCAACAATATTTATTCTGTTTTTCTCTCTCTATAGAGTAGAACTCTCTCTCAATTGGGTATGAAAAACCCTAGTTCCATGTGTTAGGGATATTGATTGTAATGATGTTTGGATTGTGATACTGCTTGATTATAATCGATTGAAGTGTTTTGATTGAGTCAATTGAAGCCTGATAAACTTTTCTTGATTTCTGCTGCAACCTGAGATAAATAGAATCCGATTAGGTTGTTAGAGCTTCTTCAATCGGTGGTAGTGAATCGATTATACGAGAGTTAGTCGATTCACTGCTTTGTACTGGAATCCAATTCCAGTAGTGGAGTTCTTTGTTAATTGCCTCAGCGTTTATACTGGTGAAGACTAGTCGTCTACCAGATAGTCTGTCTGAGAGGGCTTGGTCAGCTTAAGAGATTCCAAGCTACTGTCGGATCTTCCGCAGTTTAATCAACAGTAAATCAACCAAAGGAAATTGCAACTTTGACCCAACTAAGGAGCTAGGGGGACTCATTTCTGAGTGACTCTTCCCTTGCTTAAGAACTTCGAACCATTTCCTACTTTTGTACTGCTTTTGTTTGCAATCACTCTCACTACATTTAGTCCAGCTAGATAACAGGTGGTCACAGAGTAGGCAGTTAATCTAGACCCCGGGTTGATAAATTGAACTTGCCACTATTCTCCATTTCCATTATGCGATTGCACTTGGTCGCAATCTGGTGTTGTGTTTTAACGTGTCACAGTACTATACCTCTTAGGAGTTCTGATAGGGTTCATGATCCTCCAAAGAAGTTAAGTGATTATGTTTTTCCTAATACTAATGCTAAGTATCCTCTATCCAAAGTTTATCTTATAGTAGGTTGTCTCCTTCTTAGTAATAAATGCTATTAGTAATAAATGGGTGTTTCGTATTAAATTCAAACCTGATGGTAGTATAGAATGCTATAAAGATAGGTTAATTGTCAAAGGGTACACACAAACTGCAGGTCCTGACTATTTAGAAACTTTTTCTCCAGTAGCAAAACTTACTACTGTTCGTGTTTTGCTTTAGCATATATAAAAAATTGGCATGTACAACAATTAGATGTCAATAAGGCTTTTTTACATGATGATTTAGATGAAGTCTTCTCTAGGCTTGCATTTACCCTCTAAGAAGCTGGTTTGTAAACTAAATAAGTAGTTATATGGTCTTAAACAGACTAGTAGGCACTAGAACCACAAAATTACTCAATTCCTTCTAATTGCTGGTTATCCCTTGTGTAAGGCAGATAATTCTTTATTTACTAATCTAGTTTAGGAAAGTTTCTTGCTATGTTGATATAAATGGATGATGTTATCTTAGCATGTGATGATTTAGATGTTATTAACCTACTTAAGTCTCAACTAGGTGTTGCATGCATTCAACATCAAGGACATCGGTCCACTCAAATATTTTCTAGGACTATAAATTGCTCGTACCTCTGCTGGTTTTCCATTTGTCAACAGAAGTATGCATTTGATTTGCTTAATGATGTAGGTTTGCTTGCTTCAAAACCAGCCGCCACTCCACTAGTTAGTAGCATCTAACTTTCCCTTCATGATGGTGAAACTCTTCTTGTACTTGAACTTTATCGTAGACTTGTAGGACGTCTTTTGTACCTTTGTCACATACAACCTGATATTGTTTATGTTGTGCATCATCTTACTCAATTTATATGTAATCCCGCGTCTCCGCACCTCAATGCCAGATATAGAGTTCTTCGTTACCTTAAAAATAATCCAAGCGAAGGTCTATTTTATACTAGTAATTACTCTATTAAACTTACTGGATTTTCATACAGTGATTGGTCTATCTGGTCGGATTTTGCTCAGGTCAACCACTGGCTATTGTGTATTTATAAGTGACTCTGTTATCAGTTGGAGATCAAAGAAATAGCCTATTGTTTCACGATCCTCAACTAAAGCCGAGTAACGTGCAATGGCGGACTTGACATGCGAAGTGCACTGGTTACATTACATTCTTCAAGATTTAGGTGTTTGTTTTACTTCTCCTACACTGTTTTGTGATAACCAGTCTACTCTTAGGTTAGCTGAGAATCTTGTTGCTCATGAACGTACTAAACTTATAGAAACAAATTGCCATATCATTCGTAATTGTATCTTGTCTGTATTGATCAAGGTGTTGTTTGTTAATAGCAAGAATCAACTAGTTGATGTTATCATGAAGTCTTTGGCAATTGCTGTGTTTGCAGGACTCATTTCTAAACATAATCATGTGGATATTCACGCTTCGACTTGCGGGGGTTGTTGGAGGACTCCAAGAATGAAGAATTAGTTGTTTAGATACTATAATATAATTTTTTATTTATGTACTATAGTTATTATTTGATAGTTAGTATATATGTAATTTAATAAGACTGTTATATCTTTACTGTTTCATTAATAATATAAGTAGACTTTTTCCTTCCAAAATCAACCAAAGGATAAGCAAGTAGTGTCATGTACACGGCTGCAAGGTTTTATTTTGTCACGTGTATTTCTCCGGTGAGAACCTTCACGCAATGTGTGTCGCCGAAACCAATAGATAAATGTAAGAAATAGACTTAGAACGAAGAGAATTGAGGTGAAAGAGGGATAAACTACAAACTGTTATTAAATTCCATTCTTCTCATATCATGAAAAGAATGGACAAGTAAATATTTATAGGCATAGAACATCTCCTTTCTTAGAGGGTAAATGCAAGCCTAGAGAAAAAGTTTCAAAATACGAACTAATTAATAAAACTACTAAAATAATATAGATACGCAAGTCCAACTCGAAACCAATAATTAAGATTACTTGATTCTCGTAGCATACTTAGCTATTGGCGTGCATGCAAAGTCAACCACCAAAGGTAGGGTTGCTGATGTCGTAAAGCTCATACCTTAGCGAACATATATCCAACAACACGTTCCCTCCAGATCTGCTGGCGCATCCGTCTTTAATGCGCTTGACGGCTCTGCCGAAACAGTCGGGACAACGGTCCTCAACATCCCTGCCGCAGTAGTAATAAGAGTACACAGGAGGCTCAAATGTTATTTGGTAACAGCCTGCCTGTTGAGTTATGCATTTGATATGGGCTTTAGCCCACTGTACATTGTAGACTAGTAGTCGTAGGCCTAGTGTAGAGTAACCCTAAACCCTAAAGCTGGCCGAGTCTCTACCGCAGCTAGGGTTAGGATACATATATATATTGTACCTCGAAACTGCGTTGAAGCTAAGTTAATACGAGAGTTGATAGCTTCAGCCGTGGACTAGTCTTGATCATACTGATCAAGGAAACCACGTAAATACTTGTGTGATTTCGTTTCTAGCTTGTTTAATCTTCTCTACGATAAGTTAACATGGTATCAGAGCTCACCAGTTCGGATTCTGATCGGATTTCTACTCGTCTCAACTCCACGAATTATTCGTTATGGGAGTTTCAATTCCGCGTCTTCATCAAAGGCAAAGGGCTGTTCGGATTGCTTGATGGCACCTCGGCCAAACCCACGGTTCCGCCCTCAACCGAAGCTCACGTGCTGAAGTGGATTCAGAACGATGCTCGGGTACGCTCCATGATCATGAATTCAGTCGATCCATCCATTATCCTGGGAATGCGTCTTCTTCCAACCGCTGCGGCCATGTGGAAATCACTCGCCGAGACTTATTCCACTACCAGCGCCAATCGGCAGTTAGAACTCGAGGTAGAGCTGGCCAACCTCCATCAGGGCGAGCTCGATGTGGCGTCGTATTTCAATGCGGCGCGTCTCCTTTGGACTGAGCAAGACCTGCTCACGGCATCCCTTTTGACGCAACCGATTCCCGCCGAACTCCAGGCTCAAAAGACAAAGATCAGCTTGCTGCAATTTTTAATGAAACTCCGCCCCGAATTCGAGTCGCTGCGGGCAACCCTTTTGAATCGTGATTCTCTTCAGCTGGAAGGAATCCTGGCAGACTTGATTCGAGAAGAGACCAGGCTGCGCACGCAGGCAACTCTCGATGCTCGACCAGGAAGGGCGGACGTCGCTGTGTTCAGTGTCCAACGCCCCGCGAACCAGACTGCTGCTGCTCGTCCCAACTCTGCTGTCTCCCGCTCCCCTGCGCAGGCCCAGCAGTCCGCTCCAGCTGCTGATGACGAGCTGCATGACGCGGCGTACGCGCCGTACCGATCTGGACCTCCTCGACGTCCTCTCTCGGAGGTGGAATGCCACCATTGCCATGAGAAGGAGCATACCAAAAAGCTGTGCCGTAAGCGTAACTTTTGTGTTTATTGCAAAAAACGTGGTCATATAATTTCCGATTGTGAGTTGCTACAGGAAAGTATGGGTGATGTTGATAATCTGGGTTCTAGCGGTGGCCGTACTGGGCGCTATGATAATTCTCGTGGACGATCTCGCCCAGCTTATGCCACTGCGCCAGCTCCCTCTACCGATGGAGTGCTTGTCACTCCTGCTGCTCTCGAGAATATGGTGAACAAGGCCATCTCCTCTGCTTTTGCCAGTCTTCAGGTCACAGGTAAATTTTGAAAATGGATTATTGATTCTGCGTGCTTTAATCACATGACTGGTGATCTTCGTATTGTTAAAAAGGTACAACAAGTTGATGGCCTTTCGTTACAAGTAGCTAATGGCAATAAACTTCAGATTTCAGGTGTTGGGTCCGTTAATGATGATCATGTTCGGCTGCCTAATACTTTTCATGTTCCCAATTTGGTGCCTAATTTGATTTCGGTGGGCCAACTTACTGAACAAGGTTGCCGGGTTACTTTTGCACCTTCTGGTTGTGTTGTACAGGTAATGAAGACGGGGAGGGAGCTCGGGAAGGGTAGCAAACATGGTCGGATCTTCTTGATGGATGAGCTCGTCACGTCATCTCCTTGTTCTTTGTCGGCTTCTGATTCGGTGTCTAGTGTACCACATTTCCTGTCTTTTCGAGTCTTAGTGATCAAAAATTTCAGTTGTGGCATGCTCGATTGGGACATCCCAATTCTGGTAGACTTGTAACCATGTTTCGTCAACAACTATTTGGCTCGACTACTAAAATTGATCGGTTGTCGGATTTTACTTGTCAAAATTGTGTTCAAGTTAAAACCACCCGTATATCCTTCCCTTCGAGCACTACAGTTATTACCGAGCCTTTTCATCTTATACATACTGATCTTTGGGGACCTAGTCCGGTGACTTCTAGACATGGTTATAAGTACTTTGCATTGTTTATCGATCATGCCACTTGATTTACATGGGTGTATTTTCTTCGTTTGAAATCCGATCTTTTGCCCATTGCTACTGAGTTTTTGCAAATGATTAAGACTCAATTTGATAGAACTGTTCGTGTAGTCCGTTCTGATCCTGGGGGTGAGTTTAGTTCCACACCTTTACTCAATCTCTATGCATCCCTAGGAATTCTTACTCATAAGTCTTGTCCAGGTGTCTCTCAGCAAAACGGTCTGGTAGAACGCAAAAATAGGCATGTTCTTGAGGTTACTCGTGCCCTTTTCCTCTCGTCCCATGTACCCTCCTTTTTATGGCCTGAAACTGTTGCTACAGCTGTTCGGTTGATTAATTATCAGATTACTCCTGTTCTTGGTCAGTCGAGTCTCTATTTTAAGCTGTATGCTAAACATCCTCCATACTCCCGCCTTCGTGTTTTCGGTTGTCTGTGTTTTGTACTTATCCCTCGTTCCGAGCGTACTAAGTTGACCTCTAAGACTGCTCGTTGTGCCTTCCTTGGTTATAGCGACATCTATAAGGGGTATCTGTGTTATGATCCTGATCTTCGTCGCATTCGTATCGCCTGTAATGTCGTCTTTCTAGAGAACCTCATGTTCTACTCTGCGTCGTCTACCACTACTCCCTTGTTTGATATGTCCCTCGGACTCCCATCATTCTCCGACACTGATGATGTTGATGATGCTCTCATTGATCTGGACCCGCACCCTGATGATAGCCCGCCTCCCTCCCCACCACCAATACCAACCTTCGCCGCCGACTCCGCCTTCACCACCTACTCCGCCGGACTTGCCACCTCTTCCTCGTCGCTCATCGCGTTCTACTCTTGGGGTACCTCCTCCTCGTCATAATGATTATGTTTCATATGGCGTTGATGCTCTTGTTGTTCCCACTCGTTACTCACAGGCACATGGACATCCGGAGTGGGATAATGCTATGACTGACGAGATTGGCGCTCTCCTTGCTAATCAGACATGGGTTATTGTTCCTTGTCCTATTGATCATCCGGTGGTCGGGTCTCGCTGGGTATATGCTTTGAAATTTCTTCCAGATGGTACGTTAGAGCGTCACAAAGCTCGTGTTGTTGCTCAGGGCTTCAGTCAAGAGTTTGGTGTAGATTTTGATGAGACTTTTGCACCGGTGGCCAAGATGGTCTCTGTCCGGACTCTCCTTGCGGTGGCCTCAGTTCGGCGCTGGCCCCTGTACCAGCTTGATGTCAAGAACGCATTTCTGCATGGCGATCTCAAGGAGACGGTTTATATGGAGCTTCCTCCTGGCTATTGTCCGCAGACAGACATTCCTGATCCTGTTTGCCTTCTTCAGTGCTCACTTTATGGTCTTAAGCAGGCTCCGCGTGCATGGTTTGATAAGTTCCACTCTACTCTGTTGAGTCTTGGGTTTCGACAAAGCCAGAATGATCCCTCTTTGTTTACTCGACGCTCTGAGCGAGGTATTGTCCTTCTTCTTCTATATGTCGATGACATGATAGTTACTGGTGATGATGAAGTTGGGATCAAGGCTTTGACTAAAGGGCTCCATGAGTCCTTCACGTTCAAATAGCTGGGGTCTCTCTCTTATTTTCTTGGACTTGAAGTCCAAGGGTCCTCTGCTGGTATTCTTCTGGGTCAGAAGAAGTATATTGCGGATCTTCTTGACTCAACTCGGTTCTCAGACTGTGTCCCCGTTTCTACACCTATGGAGCTTAATGTGAAGTTAGGGAGGGAGACAGGGGATTTATTGTCGGATGGTGGTAAGCAGTATCGGAGTATTGTGGGGAGTCTTATCTATCTTACCTCGACTCGGCCCGATATTGCTTATGCTGTCCAGATCGTTGCTCAGTTTATGTCAGCTCCCAGGACTGCTCACTTAGCTGCTGTTCATAGACTCCTTCGCTATCTCCAGGGTACTCGCGATGTTGGGTTGTTTCTACCTGCGACAGGTTCTCTGGTGCTACAGGCATTTTCTGATAGTGACTATGCTGGTTGCATTGATACACGTCATTCTACGACGGCTGGTGTGTTCGTCTTGGTGGATCATTCATTTCTTGGAGATGCAAGAAGCAGGATCAGGTTTCTAAGTCATCCACGGAGGCAGAGTACAGAGCTATGTCAGATGTGGTATCTGAACTGGAATGGCTTCAGCGACTACTTACAGATTTTGGTGTCACATGTGTAATTCCGATGGAGTTATATGTGGACAACACTAGTGCTATTCGGATTGCTACGAATCCAGTTATGCATGATCGTACGAAGCACATTGAGGTTCATGTGCATTATATTAGGGACTTGGTTCGAGATGGTATCATTCGCATTTTCTATGTGAAGTCAGAGGATCAGATTGCAGACCTACTGACGAAGGCCTTCACTGCTAGTCGACATTCTTATCTCGCGAGCAAATTGATGTTGCGAGACCTCCATCAATTTGGGGGAGGCTGTTGAGTTATGCATTTGATATGGGCTTTAGCCCACTGTACATTGTAGACTAGTAAAGCTGGCCGAGACAGGTAGAGGTTAGGATACATATATATTGTACCTCGAACCTGCATTGAAGCTAAGTTAATACGAGAGTTGATAGCTTCGGCCATGGACTAGTCTTGATCATACTGATACAGGAAACCACGTAAATACTTGTGTGGTTTCGTTTCTAGCTTGTTTAATCTTCTCTACGATAAGTTAACACTGCCTTCCTGCCGTTGTCGTAGATATTAGATTGCGCGAGTGAATCCAGGAAAGTAGCTTGGAAATTCTTAGGGTTTTCCACTTTGAAATCGTCTGGGTTGCAGAATCCGTTACTGTTGCTTGCAGTGCACAGGCGCTGGTCGTCTTTGGTGCCGCACAAATCCATGTTCTGGCCGGAGCTAAGCCGGCGACAATAACACATGATCATCACGACCAATACCTGCAAAATTACTGATCGCGACATTAATTATATCACGACTATATATCTTCTGGCGGTGGTGTGTTTGATGAATGAACTGAACGAAGCCATAATCTCATATATATGTATATATGGAAATCCAGCTGTGTTGTGCTGCTAACCTGCTATAGACTCTGCCGGCCTAGTCTAGGGCCTATGGACTTCCAAAATTATTCAAGGGTGGAGATTCCAACTGTACGTAATTAAAAGTCAAAACACTTTTAAAATATTGTTATTCTTAAATCTGTTAAAGAGAAAGAGTCTGGTATTTGTTGTTGCTAGTAATAGGACAAGTAACCCAAGTTTAAAACACGGTTCAATACGACAAAATACCTCCAAACGGAAAACCATAGTTTATGCATTGCGAGAAGAGTCAACTCTCTTAGCACCTCTAGAAACAAAACACATAATTCACGTATTATTTATTTAAGTAAAATTAAATTTATTCATGCCATATTTATTTAAGTAAAATTACTAATATTCACACCAACAATATTGTTAGGTCACGCAACCTGTTGTTTATTCACGCATATTGTTATTGATTCACGACGATGTAAAATTAAATTTTAAACTTCGAAATATATAAAAATGGATGTTATTGTATAAATTACCATTAATGCAACACTACTTGCCAATGATTAAAAATCCAAATTTATTATCATAAAATATAGCCAATGCAAATTATTACGAGAAAAAAGTTTGATTTTCCATCAACGTGAATAACCTACACTCGGGGTGGGATACTATGCTAACCCCTAAAGGGGTAGTGATTTTCAACACCCCCTTTATGATTGGCCAATTTTATTTTCAATCATTGGCAAGTATTAATTAAACTGGTTTTTTATTTTTTTTAATCTTGTAATTTGGGGTCTCTCACCCACATTGGAAAGGGAAAGAATATGGGGAATCAGAAAAAAGCTCCCCCCCCCAAATGTGCAATTAATTGCCTTTTTTTCTTCCTTTCGTCTCCTTCTCTCTCCATTTGGGCCCTCTTTCCATTTTGATTTCATTTTAACCAGAACCCTCCTCTACTCTGAAACGACCAAAACCCTCCAGCGCCTTCCCCCACCACCATCCTCCTATCTCCAGCTGCCGCCATCCTGGGATCGCCTCTGACCTACCTTGTGGATTGCTCGCACCAGTGGAGTGGTACGTGTACCAGTGGAGTGGTACGTGTACCAGTGGAGTGGTATTTGTATCATTGAAGTGGTACTGCATTGTTGCTCCGTTTTTGTTTATCATTGTTATGAAAAATATCATTGCACTGGTATTGTTCTCACTCTAACCTACCTTGTGGATTGCTCGCACCAGTGGAGTGGTACGTGTACCAGTGGAGTGGTACGTGTACCAGTGGAGTGGTACGTGTACCAGTGGAGTGGTACGTGTAATTAATGTACCAGTGAGAGAAATTAATTATGTAATTAATGGGGGTGATTTCGTTTTTCCCCATATTCTTTCTCTTTTCCAATGTGGTGAGAGACCCCAAATTACAAGATTAAAAAAAAATAAAAAACCAGTTTAATTAATACTTGCCAATGATTGGAAATAAAATTGGCCAATCATAAAGGGGGTGTCAAAAATCACTACCCCTTTAGGGGTAGTCAAGCTAACCGATCCCACCTACACTCTGATGTGAATAATCATAGTATTACGTGAATAACACCAAATGACGCGAATGAACACAAAAATACGTGAAAGAGTTGGTTTTAGATGTTTTGTCGCTAGAGGTGACAAGAAAACTTTTCTTTGTGGGAAACGTGTTTCATGAGATTTTCCGGGCCTTTTAATATTTTCCATAGGGAGTTGCTATTAATCGTCCTAGATTTATTATTCGTCGTCCTAACTTTAACTTATATTTACAAAATTGTCCATTTTCAAATTGAAATAAAATTAAGCAATCAAAATTACCTATTCGTCCACTCGTGCCTATATTTGGAAACCCTACACCAAACCTCACCATCGCGGCGCGATAACCATATACACTCGATTTTCCAGCTGGAGTAGGGAATAATCTCATTTTCCAACCGCACCACCGCCTCTTCTCGCAGGAGAAGACGACCAGAAAAGCTAAGACCGACATAATTCTTCCAGTCGCTCCTTTGCACCTTCTATTTATCACAAGAAAAGTTCAAGTGTGGGGTATTTTTATGAGATAATTATCATAAACGATCACACAACTTATCACAAACAGTCACAAAAGTTTAATTTTGCACGTTTGAACAAAACATGTTTAGATGAATAACAAAACGATCATTCCGTCCATCTGCCTAAAAAATTCCATTAATTATGTACAATCAGCATGGCAAGTCACAATAAATATTAACAAATGAACCGACTGTATTAATCTCAAAACGATATTTATACTCGCTATATCTCAACCGATCCATAATCCTAGACCCGTTCCTGGTGGGTCCCATCATGAGCTTCAACAGACAGCTCGCTGAGGGCGACGGCTTGAGATAGGGTGAGTAACCCTTTGTTACTCACCCGTGAGTAACCACCTTAGGACCGTAGCTCTAGGGGTGGATCAATCATGTGGCTGGGGTGAATGCGGGGTCCAGAAAGGCATTTTTGTCCGTTTATGAATTTTTATTTTTATTATATTCCAAGTTTAATGGCCGCTTTTTCAAAAAAAGGAGACCACTTTTAATGGCTGCTTTTTCAAAGGAGGAGAGAGAATCATTTCTCTACAACTCTCTTTTCTCTTTCTCCCTTCCTTTTTCTCTCTCAATCTATCATTTCTCTTTCTCTGTTCCTTTTTTTTCTCTCCAATCTCTTTCTCCATATATAGATCTGCTTCCTTCTCTTCTTTTTTCGTTTTTCTCTCTCCAGTAATCGACGAAGAAAATTTGCAGCCACCCTCTTTCATTGCGTTTTTTGACTCTTCATCAACTCGTTGGCCTCAATTTCGGTATTTCTCCCTTTTTTGGCGTTTGGTGTTCTTGATTGCGGAGGAGATGAGACGAAATAGAAGACGAGTTTTTTTTTCCCTCTCCCTCCTTCTGTTTTTTTTCCTTTTAGATAATATATATTGATATTATGACTCTATACCATATGGTATTGGGTGGTAACGAAATATATATTGATATTACCACACTATACCCTATGGTAATGTATGGTATTGCGTGGTAACGAAATATATATTGATATTACCACTCTATACCATATGGTATTGTGTGATATTACCATACTATACCATATGGTATTGTGTGGTAACGAAATATATATTTATATTACCACACTATACCATATGGTATTGGGTGGTAATGAAATATATATTGATATTACCACACTATACCCTATGGTAATGTATGATATTGCGTGGTAACGAAATATATATTGACATTACCACTCTATACCATATGGTATTCTGTGATATTACCACACTATACCATATGGTATTGGGTGGTAACGAAATATATATTGATATTACCACACTATACCATATGGTATTGGGTGGTAACGAAATATATATTGATATTACCACACTATACCATATGGTATTGGGTGGTAACGAAATATATATTGATATTACCACACTATACCATATGGTATTGGGTGGTAACGAAATATATATTGATATTACCACACTATACCATATGGTATTGGGTGGTAACGAAATATATATTGATATTACCACACTATACCATATGGTATTGGGTGGTAACGAAATATATATTGATATTACCACACTATACCATATGGTATAAACTGGTAATAACTGAAAAAAATTTTGTGTCAAAAAAATATCAAAGTGGATATCATTTTGAAGAGCATAATTAATCTGATCTAACTGTGCAAAAAAAATTAAATTTCGACTTAAAACGAGTGAGAAATCGTCCGTTAAAGATTAAGAGAAGGAAAATTAAAGGTTTTTCGATGAGAGAGAAGGAGGTCCTGATGTGGTCGGTCAAAAGTCAGCGCGTCAGCAATAAATAGGAGATAAGTGCATTTTACCTTACTGCCCTTCCGCATTTAATTTAAATAAAAAAGGGAAAAAATCCCAAGTTACACTTGTTTTTAAAAAAAATTCTCAAAATACACATGTTATGAAAATAATTCCCAATCTACACATGTTTGGGCCTTCACCGCGTCAGAGAAGGGCGGTGATTGCTTCACCGCGTGAGAGCAAAACGGTGATTGCTTCACCGCGTGAGAGCAAAACGGTGACTGCTTCACCGTGGGAGAGCAAAACGGTGATTGCTTCACCGCGTGAGAGCAAAACGGTGAAGCACTGACCTGCGTCCAAACTTTAAAACAACGTAACTTTGTGCTCGGTTATCCGATCGTAGCAAATTTTTTTTTGATTCCCCATAATTTTTCGAGATCTTGCAAGCCGCAAACTGCCGGAGGCGGTTTGGTCCCGCCTTCGTCTCGAAAAAATGTCGTTTGCTACCCCGAACGACCCTTTTTTCGATTTCGTCAAACTTTGAACGACCATAACTTTGTGCTCCACAATCCAAAAATCATGAATTTTTTTTTGATTTCGCATAACTTTTTAAGGACTACTAACAGAAAACTTAACGGTTGGTATACAATTGTCATATCGAAAGTTATGTAATATAAATGACACTTTCGCTAAAGGTTGGTATTTCCAATGGTATTACCCCAATAATAAATCCATTCATTCATCTATTAACAATCCAATCTACAAATCAACCCAAAAATAATTTCTTTTCTATTTGTTTTGCGATATAGATGAGACACAATGGATAACCACGCTCCCCCCGACTCCCGTAACCCATATTTGGCCTTTATGAGAGTTGAAATTGGGTGGTTGAAGAAGAGGGAGTGAAAAGGTTTAACTTTTTAAGTCTCGTCGGGATTTGGGACTAGCTCTGTTTGAGTTGGTCGCTTCCATGGCTGTCTTTATTGGGGTCGCTCAGCTCTCACATCCATCTCTCGTCTCGGCGGAGAAAGGTGAAGAAGAGGAAAATAGAGCGAGTATAAAGATCGGGTAATGTTGACAAACGGCAAAACAACCACAAGCAAGAATAGAATGGACAAGACACGATTTTTACGTAGAAACCCCAAATTGGGAAAAATCATGGGATCTTTGTTCAACCCACAAGGTTAGAATTCTAACTCTTCCAGAGTGGTATCTCACTGATGGCTCGTATCCCCCCCTCCCCCCCCCCCCTTCCGGGGGCCTTCTCCGCCTTCCACCTAAGCTGCACAGGAAAGGCACCACTAGACTTTGGTGGTATTACAAGTCCTCTCTAGACTAGCTCGAGGATTACAAACACCTCAACAACAAAATTTTTGGGTCACCAATCGACCACAATAGCTCTCACCAACATGGTGGATAACAAGACCAAGACCAAGAGAAGTTTAGAGGTACCCAAAACAGATTCGTACACCTTCTGTCCAGCAGAGATTCCCGACAAAATAGAAATTAAAACAACGATCTCGCCAGTCAGATTGAAGCCCAGAAAATTGGGAACCCACTGTCCAAATTTGAGGATGATCCAACAGTTCAATCTTCCAAAACGCTCACTTGAACAGGCTTCCCTGCTGCAGAAATGAAAAACTGCAGCTCTTTGTTTCTCTCTTATCTCTTTTCCTTAGATTGCTTCTCTGCTGGTAACATCGCGATGTTTTGTTGCCCCTTGAAATATTTGTCATGTCTCATGCTTACAAAGGGATAAAGGTTAACCTTGCCTCCCTGATGTTCCTCAACATGATTAAGTTTGTCCCTAGTCTCGACAAACAGGATGTAGGCCTTCCATATGCTAGTTTGGGGCTAAATTGCAAGTTTGGTCACTAGAATTACTTCAAAATTTCACGTTTGTCACTAAAATTAATTTATTCCATCTGTAGTCACTTAAATTAAGTTAACAGTTCAAGTTTGGTCACTTGCTGTTAGTCTCCTTTCACTTTTGCTGATGTGGCGGTCAACTCTTATAGTTGACCGTTAAATGAGTGACGTGGCAATTAAAATAATAATAAAAAAATAAAATTTAATTATTTTTTTTATTTTCCACCTAATTATTTAAAAAAAATACCTAACTTGCCGCTAACTTCTCTTCGGTCACCGGAATGAGAAGGTACACGCTTATGCCGACGGGGCCGAAGGAGGACCAACCAGCCGTCGCTGGAACCCACGTTGTGGCTGGTCCCTATGTTTGCGAACGAGGCGGCCGAGTTCGCCGCCGCGATGATCGAAGGAGGGCATGCGGTCCAGATCGGGGAAGAAGCGATGGCCGATGGGGTGGCCCACAACGAGTTATTGTGGTTGTAGTGGTGTCGTCACGACGACCTCTAGAAGACCGTAGTTTCGGCAATGCGAGGATGCCTGAAGTGCTGCGGCGGCAGCGGTTGTGGGGGAGGAGGTTTTTCTTGGGCCCAGATTTCGAAATCGTTCCTGAAGCTTACCTGTCAAAATGGTACACGGCCACAAGCAAGGTCTACGCTGTGACCAGGGCCTAGAGATTGTTGTTGAGGAAGATAAGAGTAGAAACGGTTGAGCCTGGTGAGAGGGGATGAGATTGAGCTGTGGAGCAGAGGTAGGTAGATAGATAAATAGATGAACACGTACAATGGGGCAAAAGGGGAAACTCTTAAAAACAAACAAAGGTCGTCTCCACTTCCATTTCCATCCCAAAAAGTCATCTTCTCCACCATCCATTCAATTCCTTCCTTGTGGCCGCAGACCAAACAAGATCCCTCCACCATCCACAACCCCAATTTCTTCCTTCTTAGTCTCTCTATCTTTAGGGTTTTCCGATTCGGTTGTCTGCCATCAGTTAATTAATTCGTGCAAAAGACAATATATTGATAGATCTCAAAACAGCCATGTGGAAGCCTCCATTGGCTCTCCTCCTTTGCTGCGGCCAAGAAATATCGCACATTTATTATTATTTTAATTGTCGCGTCACTCATTTAACGGTCAACTATAAGAGTTGACCGCCACATCAGCAAAAGTTAACGGAGACTAATGGCCAGTGACCAAACTTGAACTGTTAACTTAATTTAAGTTACTACGGATGGAATAAATGAATTTCAGTGGCAAACGTGAAATTTTTGAGTAATTCTAGTGACCAAACTTGCAATTTAGCCGCTACTTTGGTGACTAGATTCCTTGGCGGAGTTGGCTTGAAGCTTTATGCATTTTTGTTCTCGAGCAGCACTTCTATTAGTCGCCCTGTATTTGCGATAATGGATGACACCAACGCTTTCCATCATCTCCGACCACCTAGTCGTACAAGGGAAGAGTGCCCAAAATTATCTACATCTGTCTCCCAACGTCATCTGCATGGAATTGTTATTCTGATTACTGCTTTGGTTGAAAAAACGAGGCAGACAAATAGGGGGGTGGGGGATAGAAATGGCACATTGGAGATGAAGGCGAAGAAGAAGGGAGGCGAAGAAGATGAAGAAAAAGAAGAAGAAGAAGAAGAAGAAGAAGAAGAAGAAAGAAGAAAGTAGTGGAAGGGGAAGAAGAAGAACAGTTTGCTTTCTGTTTTTTTTTTATGTTTTTTATTTTTTTAATTGCTTATGAACAGTTTATGATCATTGGTTGTATTAATATGGAAATGGTTTGTGTTGATGTGGTGTTTTTGTTAGGAAGTAATTACTAATAAGGCATACCACAAGAAGCAGAACACACACCACAAGACTCATAAACATTGGCAAGAAGGTGTATGAATTGTTAGTAATTCTTTAGCTCAAAACGACTTTTTCTTATGCACTTTTACACCAACACTTATTTAACCGTTTTAATTTTTAAGAAAACAACTCGATTGCTTCGCATGGCCATTACTCTAAAAAAATCTATTTCATTGGATTACTGATGCATAATTGTTGTTTTACTTTCACCGTACCAACTATCAAGTGAGGAAGCAATTACTATATACCATTAATTAAGTAATTAACACTTCCATAATTATTCAATAAAAAATATAGGTAAAATACTCAATGCAATACAATACTTCAATATAAATTAAACCAAACTCCAAGTTAGATAATCCATTGTCAAATCCAATAAAAAAACCATGAATTTATAAAATCATATAATACAATATACTTCAATCCTCAAATTCGGCGTTCTCTCTTTCTTGTTGTGCCTTTTGGTAGGCTTCCTTGTACTCGAGTGTGAGAGCTCCAAGTTTTGGTGCAAGTAGGATGTCATATAAGAAACAAAGCCAGTTCCATTCGCTAGGTATCGGTCAAATCCAAAATGCGAAAGACTATAAGAGAGGTCGAGTTATGTTCGAGAGAGTAGCTAGCCAGATCCAAGTCCATGCGCCCCAAAAATTTGGAGACAAGCGTGGCATAAGGCAAAGTCGTCCACCATTAGTCCTCCCGAGGAGCAACAATCAACATGTTCAGACACATGAGAGATGAGAGATTTATCTTCTATCTTCGCTAAGTATTGACAAGTACGAACAGGTTGAGCGTCTTAATGGTGCCGCATTTGCAAAAGCGAGGACGAAAGAAGTTAAACTACTAGCCAGTGCAGCAGTCGAAGCGGATCCGAAATAGTTTTGAACATCAAGGTTCATCTTTGTGAGCTTGGGAAATTCGTCGTGAAAGTTGAAACCATGCACTGCTAAGTCACGCTCAGAACAAACGCTGAGACCACCAGAGGACAAATGAAGCATCCCTGCGAAATCTTGATGTTGGAAACAAAGACGACACCCTAAATATACCGAGCTCAGGTAGGAGTCATCAAGACCATCAACACGTAGGTTGGGGTAGAACTTTCGAACCACCAACGGGAATTAACTGGTTGAATTGTGCTTGCGGATGGAGAAATAATCTGCCCAATCAAGGTTGGTGATTAGGGTCTTCACGTTAGTAGGAAAAGTGGAGAGGGAAATAAACTCATACTCACCAATAATGATGGTATTTTGGGAGAAGTAGTAGTATTCAGCCTGACTCGTGACACTATTGCAATCCAAATTCAACAATGTGAGGAGTGTCATTGGTTTTTTGAGATCAATGTGGGTTTGGCCAGCCATTTTCAAAACTGAAAGTGAAGGAGAGGAGAATTGGATGAGAAGAAAGAGGAGCTATAATGAGTGACTAATTAGAGGAAATAAAAGATCAGGTTGTGGAGAGTGTAATGATGGTAGGAGTAAGGGAGATTGGGCCACGTCTATCAGGGGGAAAGAGAGGACAATGGGAGGAAATGATGATTTTCTACTTGCTAGGCAAGTTAGATAGTGCTTTGGTGGATATCAGTTAGACATACAGTAAACCATCAAATCAAAAGTAAAACCTCTATCATCCCTTTCTTCTGTCCTGGATTTCAAACCTTATTAATTACAAGCTTCAACTTGCCATTTAGCAGCCTATTAGTGTTCAGTTAACCTTCCTGTTTCACTTATTTTAAATATTCTTATTATTGCTTTAACATTAATCAAATTAGGAATTACAAAATGAAAAAGGATGGAAATGCTGGGAACGCGGGTAGCTGTTTATTGTAGCTTATCCAGTAATCATTTCTTCCCTTTCAGTTGACTCACTAGTTGTAGAGATGGCTTTAGTTGATACTTCTTCTTTTTCCTTTCTCCCAAAGTGTAGGTACTCAAATTATCTCTTGCACGCAAACATTGAAATAGTTTGACACTTAAAAATTTGATTCCTCCATTGTACAAAATACGAAAACATATCTCACAAGTTCATAAATAATTTTTGAAAAAATTAATAGAATATCTGAATAAAAGAAACAAAGTCAAGAATCAATTGTAATTGAAAATTACATCTTGTCACAAATTTTGTTAATCAGATATTCAGAATGAGAATTTGCTATTGCATCCTCCAAAAAATAAATATTGACATCAAATTAAAATAGTTATAAATAAATTATAGAACATACATAAAAATTATTCTTGTTTTCTATGACTGTAACAATTGAGTGAATGATATTCGTTTTCCTGCCGTTCCGTTCACATTGATTTTCCAAATAGGCTGCCAAATGCCAGGTTGAAGCCTGTACCTCCAACTGGGATTGGACACAAGAATTTTGTTATTCTAGTGATGCATTGTGTCGACGTCAGCCTTCGAGGGTTAGTAGCAACCTACTGTACTTGTTTTAGGGAAAATCCACAATATGTAGGTCTAAATGTGGTAATAGAAGAGCCACCACATGAAGTATGGTTCCACAACAACTATTATGGAAATGCTTACTGCATATGGTTCTCCTCTGTGATGTATTTAGACAGCTACATATCGCGACTCCCCACTATCCTGCCTCCAATACAACATCGGGATGAAAAAAGACAGTAAAAATGAAGGGATTAGGCAAATTTATGGATAAAATCGATTGTCAACTTTGCTGATTAGGTGACTATATGGGTTTAGAGCTATTACCTCTGTGTGGGTGATTACCACAATGTCGAGAAGAAGAAGAATTAGGCAGGACGTCATAATGGATTAGGGAAACGACAAAGGGAGCCAAATAGAAAATGAGGGAGATTGGAGGAGGATGGCGGATGATCAGCTTACATGTGAAGAGCTAGGGTTTGAGTCATTTTGTTTATATACTCGACTTCGTTGGCCTTTGCTCTTGACGCTAGTAAACAATTACACTCTCTGCCACTCCTTTTACCTTGTGAATGAGAAGAAGTGAAGAACACAAAAAATGGAACAAACATGGGAAGTGTTATTATAAGCATTATGATTGATCGTTTAATATATTATTTCTTATTTATTTTTGGTAGAATTCAGTTCTTTGTTTGTAAAGTAATTTCGTTAAATCATAAAACACAATGCATGATAAAGTTACAATTATAAATTATGTTGTTTATTGAGCAATTTCTTCACGACATGACAACCTCCATTGTTGTGATTTGGTATGTCATCTTTTAAAATTGAAATATCATTAGGTATAGACGATTATGGAAGAATCAAGATTGGTCGACTCCTACAATGTATCTCTTTACTTTATCTTTCACTTCATTGTCTCTTATGTCATTGTATGGATGATTGATTTTGAGTTCGGTTGGAAATGTAATCTCACATTCCTTTTTTTTCCCGTCTAGTTAGGGGTGGTTTGGAGTTAGTGATTCTTTAAATTGATTAATTCTAATCATTGTGTGCATTATAAATTGATATTTTGTTTGACTGGGTGTATTTGAAAAATCACTTATTTGGAGGTAAAAATTGTGCTTTTCACAATCTCAAAACAACCCTTTAGTTAGAGACCAAATAACATTGTGCACAATACAATAATTTATAGGGTCAAAGGGTAAAGTAATGCATGCATTATACAATTTCAAATAAAATAAGTTGAGATTGTTGGGTTTTGATTTGTGTCACTTTTTCGATCCCTTTATATCCCTAGTAGTTTTTTTTTCTTATACAAAGTGTTGAGGGTAAATGTGACATTTCCCCTTGAGGTAACTTTATGCAAATCAATACATAAACTAGAATCTCAATAACCAAATAATGTATTTTTAAAATGGATCCATTGTAACAAACAACGCTTTCGGATTGTTTGGGTTTGTTAATTTGGGTGATTTGTTTGGAGCCATAGAAAATTATCCATCGGCAATAACTAAAGAAGAAAAAAGTGTGAATAACTAGTACCTTTACCCCCACTATCGTTGTAAGCCAACGAGTATAAAAATACTAATTACCAAATTGTTAGTTTAAATATATAAGTATTAGTAAGGTAACTTAACCATCACACAGTGTTAGCCCCGAGTTAATTTCGCATGATAACCGCGGGTTCTGACACAATATCTCATCATTGAGATCATTCTTTGTATCTCCGCATTGCTAGCCGACCTAGCTAGTTCTATTGTGGTTCACTTTCGTTACGTATTGGTCTAGTTTACTAGTCCAGTGGTTTGCATTTGAGAATTTATGGCATGCTTAATTAGATTTATGTCATGCTTCGTTTATGTTGTGGAACAAATTATTTGCATTGAAGTATGAGGGCATGCTGCTGATATCTAAATACAATGGTGTAAAGGAACAGTTAATTCCCATGAACTACACGTGTACCACTAGAAAAGAATAGTTAATTCCCATCTTTACTCAGTAAGAAACTTAACCGACACAAAGTGTTAGCCCCTAATAATTGCGCATTGTAATCCATGTTTCTGACACAATATCTCCTCATTGAGATCATTCCCCGCCCCCACGATCTTCTGTGTTAACTGCAGAATTTTTAATTTCTTCTGTTAGTACCTTTTTCTTCTACTAGGCGCTTCCTTTTGTTTTTACTGCTGTTATTATCTTACCTCCATTTCTGACTTTGTTATCTTGTGTCCAATTATTCATTGAACTAATCTAGTACGTGCCCTATGAATATAGTGTGTGGGTTTAAACTGGAAGTGGAATTATAAAATTTATTTTTCTTTCGTTAAATTTTAATAAGCCCTGACACTGATGCTATCTGCAGTTTTGCAGACAAATATTATTCTTTAGAATTAAGTAGTTTTCATGTTTAAATTATATAAAAAAATGAGTGATGATTTTCTCGTCGATAGTTCTATTATTTGTATTGAAAGAGATATAGCGGACACCATTGGATTATTGAATGATTTTATTGATCTAAAAAAAAATTATTTACGTTTAAGATAATAAATTACATTTAATACTTTTTATTTTTTTAATTTTATTTTTGATCCCGGACTTGACATCGTGGCTTCAACACTGCTCAATATCCTTAGGACCTTGAAAATAGCCAAACAACAAGAGTTAATACATAAACTAAAGTACCCCGAAGAGGCGAAGCTTGGATCCGAACTATGAATTGAGCAAAAATGGGCCAGTGAACATTAATGGCGCAATTGCATGCACGTAGACGACCACTTCTACCAACCAGATTTTCCAAATCTATTCATTTAATTATCATATCCAGCATTCATTTCTTGTGGTCATGAGAAGTTGACTAATAATTAATCTCATTGAATAAATGGAAGCAAACTTAACACAACCATGAATCAGACACAATCATATATATATATATATATGTGTGCATCTTATCATCGTCAAACTTGTAGAAACATTGTGGTGTACGTGTAATCTTTTCTTAAACATACATTTTCGTGTCAGACTGAAATATGAAGAGCATCAACCATACATTGGTTTTTATCTTGCTGACCTTTTTCATCGTTACCGGTAAGTAATATTTTTCATTATTCTTCTTTTTAATAAAGGATTATTGTTTTGTTTTTTTGTTACAACCAGCTTATCGTGATCGCTCGTGATCAATGTCGTACTGGATATTTGACGAATGCAATGCAGGCGACGGAGTGGGGAGCACGGCGGCGATGCGGACGGAAGGAGGAGTGGCCTGTCTGGCGGGGAAAATCAAAGTGAAAGAGTGCGATCCACAAGTGTGCCCTCTCCAGTGCCAAAAGAAGTATGGAGCCGTTGGCATTTCTGGCGAATGTATAGGAGACTATTGTACTTGTTATGCCCTTTGCCAAGGTCCACCACCGAGGGGTCGTCTCTAGCTTCGACAATATAACATATATAATCGACCTCTGTCATTTGGTTAATGTTACGCACAAGATTCTGTACGTCACCTTTTAAATCCCCAAAAAACTCCTTGGCTGGGTTCGAACTGGATAAAACGTGAAACTGAATGTAAAACTAGAATAGAAAAATTAGGAACAGGATGCTATCTAACCGTATCACGCCTTCCATGCCTAATTAGCGTTAAGAAACCGTTGATTCCAATAACTTAACTTGTTAGAAGAGGTTCAATTATGTATCTTATACCACATACCAATATGTTCCCTCAAACAAAAGCCACTCAATTTGGGCTTGAAGATCGTACATGTCCGAATACCATGTGCTAATCAATCAAATGGAGGTCGTAGGGGTTCAAACAGAAGACCTCTCGGTCACAAAAGACTTTGATACCATGTTATAAACCAAATGGTCTCAATAACTCGAGTTATCGGGAGAAGATCTGTTAGAAACAAAGTTTCTAACGGGTTTCTAGATCAGATCTAGAGATCGGGGATTTAGGGTTTATAGAACAGAATTGGGGATTTAGGGATTTGAGAAGAGAAATTAGGGATTATGAGAAGAATTGGGGATTTTGGGAAGAACGGCCGAGGCCTTAGAGGAAGAAGGACAGACAAGGTTGAGAGAGATCAGAATAGGGTTTTGGGGAATAATTGTTTTATTGATTTCTGCTTGATCGTACAAATGACCCAAAGTGTCTATTTATAGCTAGAAACTGGAATAAACCTAATAAATAACATAATACGACTCGAATACTACTAACCCTAACAATAATTATCATACCATAATTAATAATGATAAACGCTAAAAATCGTGTTTCTAACATCCTCTCCCTCTTCAAACCAACCTTGCCCTCAAGGTTGACCAATTTGACCCACTCTTCCTTCCTTCCCGCGTAATCCGCACTCCGATTCCTCCAATTCTTGCGCTTCCGTTTCTTCCAATCGGGCTCTAGCTCCAATAGTGGGCTTCTTCCATCGACCTTCTGGTGCTGATATAATTCTTCGACTTTCACTTTTATGGGCCCACCAATCACTCCCTTGTCGAATTCACACTTCAACCGCTCCTCTTTTTTGGGCACCACCATCCATGAACTTGACGAATCCAAAGATTCAATCTGGTTCAAGAACCTATCTTTGAGTACCAACTAATCAAGGCCTTCAAACATTTTTCTTGAGATTAGCCTATAAACTTGCCTTGTTGTTCCTCCAATTGCTTTTGCGCCATACTCATTTGAAAGCCCACCAGCTAAGCCTCCATACCTTTCGCCCTTAAGCTCCACCTTCTTAAACAAGCAGCTCAGGCTCGGCCCAATTGGCCTACACTGTCGCAACTTAGCTTCCGTCATGGAGCCTGCCCAAATAAGCTTGCTAGCCGCCAGTTCACTCGGCCTGTATCCTGACTTTGACCCAGTCCGCTTTTTCATTACAAATTTTGGCCCACTATGCTCATCCTTCAGCCCAGATTTTTGTACTCTCTCAGCCCCATCCGCTTCAAGGTTCGGCCTGTTCTGCTTGTCTGCCTGACTTTGTGAAAACCTGGATTGCCGAGCTTCACGGCCCACCTCCCCCTGGCGGAGTCGACGCGATCCAAATGGAAAACTGACCCAAGTCATCTGGCCCAACCGGTCGACTCTCCTCCCCGTGAGCTGCCTAGAATTTGCGAGGGGCGAGGCGTCCTCCTCCGTCCTCCAGCCCACCCCCGCCGCAAATGGAGCCACCGAGAATCGTGACTCTCGTGTGATTCGCGTCTCCGTCAGCTCGATTCTCCGTTCCGACGACGAAGGGCGCACCAGACAAGGAGAAATCAACTCCGACACCTCTTCCTCCTTCTCCCCGAGCTCGCCTCCCGCCATTGTCATCCCTCTGGTCGGTGGCGTCTCCGTGAACGGATTTGGCTTCTCAAGACGCGGTTCTGGCAACGAGTCCTCCACCAATTCCAAGCTCATCGTTGCCGCTCCGCCGCTCAACGTCACGACTGGTGCTGCCGCGAATTGCCACATTCCGCCTGCGATTCGCAGCTCCGGCGGCTCATTCTTCTTCTCCGGCGATGGTCCGACATCCGGCGGCATCTTCTCCCTGCCGTTTGACACGAGATCCGACGCTGCCTCGACTGGAACTGCCGGCAACCACGACGCCCCTTCTCCCTTCGTGGTCGGCAACCGGATCCCCCAGATGGGTTCCTGAATAGCACGAGAAGAGGCGAACTCGCCGCCCTTCTCCTTCATCTCCTCCATCGGAACTCCCCTCGTTTCCTCGTTCTCCACAGGCGACGACCCCTTCTTCGCGTGGACGTCGCGCGAGGCCTCCTCGGCGGATGCCGTCGTTGTTTCCCGGTTTGAATCCACGGTCGGCGTTGGTCGGTCGTCTGGTGGTCGTCCTCGTGGTGGAATGGCAAGCGTTTGGATCATCCGGTGCTCGATTCGGGACTCCGGCGAATCCACTTGACCGCCTATTGCTTCTTTCTTCTTGCGTTGTTGGTTGCTGACTTCGATGATTGGTTGTGGAAGAGAGCCCGGGCTTGGCGACTTCTGTTCAACAGCTGCTGTCCTCCAAACAACTTCGGGGACGGAGAGGCGGATAGCAATGTCTTCTTTTGGATCATCTTCCTCGTTTATCACAGGCGAGTCAAACACCTTGATTGGTGGTTTCACAACGGCGCTTGGCATAAGTGGTTGCAGCATCTTGGGGAATTCCGCCGCAGGTGGTGGTGGTGGGGGTTGGGTCGTTGCAGTGACGTTTGGGGGTGGTGACTCGGTTGTCGCCTCTTCGTCACGGTTGTGGACTGGAGGTGTTGTTATTTTTGGAACTTGGAGAATGAAATCAGTTGTCCCAAACTTAGTGCGATAGTGCTCGATGTCGTGGATTGCTCTGAATCTGATTTGCTTTTTGAATCGGATCCATCTGCTACCATCAGCCAACGGTCGTTGTCCTGTTATTGCTAGCACATCAGGTCCAACCACCTGCACGTTTACGTGCTCCTCCTCGAACCCAGGCAAGGTGAGGAACAAGACAACGCTACGTCGTAGCTCCATCCTTATGGTCTTAGGCTTGAAGTCTTCATATACTTGTTCGTCCCCTGTTGAGAGTTGTGACGAACTCATATTGTCGACCATGGCTCTGATACCAGATGTTAGAAACAAAGTTTCTAACGGGTTTCTAGATCAGATCTAGAGATCGGGGATTTAGGGTTTATAGAACAGAATTGGGGATTTAGGGATTTGAGAAGAGAAATTAGGGATTATGAGAAGAATTGGGGATTTTGGGAAGAACGGCCGAGGCCTTAGAGGAAGAAGGACAGACAAGATTGAGAGAGATCAGAATAGGGTTTTGGGGAATAATTGTTTTATTGATTTCTGCTTGATCGTACAAATGACCCAAAGTGTCTATTTATAGCTAGAAACTGGAATAAACCTAATAAATAACCTAATACGAATCGAATACTACTAACCCTAACAATAATTATCCTACCATAATTAATAATGATAAACACTAAAAATCGTGTTTCTAACAAGATCAATTATGAATCTTATACTATTAACTGAAATGCTCACTCAAACGAAAGTCAATCAAATTATGAGGTAGTTCGTTTGCATAGGTCTTGAATACGAGAATTCTGGTTATATGCTTCACAAATAGGGTGAGCGGGAGTTTATAACTATTAAACAGAACATGTTGTTCTCATGTTTTTCAAGAGCAAGAAACGCTTAAGCTAATCTTGAGAAAGTGCAACCGGAGATCTTTATGGTGCTTCTCCTCAACTAGTGCCTGCTATTGTCTTTTTAATGTCATAAATGGGAATAAAATGAGAAAGATTAAAGAGAAGCTCTTGAAGTAACCTGTTGGTAAGATGTGAGAAGGGGTGATCTCAAATTCAGTCAATTTAAAAATATGTTGGTAATAGTTTATGATTGGTTTGTGTCACTAATTGAACCGAATATAGTTGAACCACTCAAACCGAACCGATGTGCAAGCAAAAATGAAAGTATGAGCGTTGAATCTGAATGCACAACAGGGGGAACGAGTGAGGACTAATAATCATCGAAGGAAAACTAAAGAAGTACTGTGCACAATACCGCAACCCTCAGCTTGGAAGGGTGGTTCAGCTCGAATGTTTCAAGAACCAGAAGTCGATAAAGGTTGGTACATCGCAGAGTCGGATGACGAAGATTTAGCCAAGAAAGTGCTTGGGATACGGTCAGTAATCAGTAGTTACTGACCTGTCAGTAATTAAATAGGGACCACAGATCTAGGGGTGGAGCCATCGTGCAGCTAGGCTGGACGCGGGGACTTAGGGGCATTTTAGTCCACTTATAAATTTTAAAAAAAATTCACTTTAATTTATCCAGCATTTAATGACTGATTTTTCAATGGAGGAGAGAGAAATATTATATTCTCTACAACTCTCCTTTCTCTATCCCATTCTCTTTCTCCATATCTAGATCTGCTTCCTTCTCTTTTTCTTTATCTCTTCCTTCTCTCTTCCTTTTCCTCTCCCAATCTCCTTCTTCATATCTATATTTGCTTCCTTATCTTCTCTTCATTTTTTTCTCCAGCAATCGATGAAGAAAAATTACAGTCTCCCTCTTTCATTGTGCTTTTCTCTTCATCAAATCGTTGGTCTCAATTCCAATCTTCCTCTTTTTTTGGCATTTTGGTGTTCATGATTACGGAGGAGGAAATGAGAGAAGACAGAAGACGAGTTTTTTTCCTCTCTTCCTTCTGTTTTTTATTTTCTTTTAGGTAATATATATTGATATTACCACACTGTATCATACGGTATTGTGTGCTAACCAAATATATATTGATATTACCACACTATACCATATGGTATTGTGTGGTAACAATACATATAATGATATTACCATGCTATACCATATGGTATTGTATGGTATTGTGTGCTATTACCACACTATACCATATGGTAGTGGGTGGCAGTCGACACCATATGGTATTGTGTGGTAACGAAATATATTTTTATGGATATCATGTTTTACCACGTAATACCACGTGGTATTGATGGTATTTAGATTTGAAATTTTACTTTTAGCATGTTATACCATATGGTATGGTATGGTAATTAGATTTATAATTTTCACTAGCATGTTTTACAAGGTAATACCATGTAGTATTGTATGGTCATTTTATTTTTAGCAAGTGATAATCATATTCATATTTGTAATTGTTGTCCATAGCACTGAATTATTTAACAAATTTAATCATTATTCCATTTTTTTAGTTGGAATTAGAGCAGAGATATTAGCGATGGTTAGGTTCATTTTTGTTGTAGAGATAGAGTTAGACTGTAGACAGTAGATGCATTTCTCTTCCTCTTCTAGTTATAGATGGGGAGAGAAGAAATAATATAATTGTTCTTTAAATAATAAAACAGAGAGTGGGAGAGAGGGAACACGCGTTGGACATGGAGTGGGTCCGCGTCTAGTCAATAGTCAGCGTCAGTATTAAATGGGGGTGTGGGCAATTTACCCTACTGCCCCTCTGTATTTAATTTAAATAAAAAGGAAAGATTGACACATTGGGCCAGGAGAAAGGGTTACTAATGAGAGGGTTACTGATGGGATCCGGACCCTTAAAAAGAGCCTGAAGAGGATGATTATTCTGAAGGCGAGGATACAGATCTGTTGTGTTCTACAGTGCTGTTTATGGCGGCATAGAAGATAAAGTGGAGAAGGGAGTGACGCTCGACTTTGGTGGTGAAGGGTCTGGGAAGGAAACTTCCCTATGTTCTTCTGGCACGTCCACTCGAGTCTATGTGTGCTAGGCATGGAGCACTCCACATTCCGTATATGTAAAAATGAGTGCTTTTTGGTGCCCTTTAAGAGTGGTAAAGATTACGAATATGGCTTCCATGTGCCCTTCCCCTTCTCCACCATCAATGTCGATAAAAGTCGCTCTCGATACAAAACTCGTTAATACCATGTGTTTGAGTTCAATTGTCATTTTCAACAAAAAGACAAATAAAAATTTAAAATTACTAAAGTCGGGTTCAAGTCGCTTTCTCATGATTGAATTAGGTTGAATACCCATGAGTTTGAGTTTAATTGCCATGCTTAACCAAAAGAAAAAGAGAAATAAGAAAACACTAATGAATATAAAATTCAGTCCCGATACAAAACTTGACAACATAGCATTTTGGTATGGATTTTCGGTAGCGGTCTTGGGACACGGTTGATGGGTACAACCCTGAATTCCACTAAAAGTATTTTGAGATATGATATGGATTTTCTGTAGATGTATTGATACAGTAACCAAAAGAAATAGGAGCACTTCTACTATGCTATATAGTATTGGTGCTTTAATGTACAACTTAAAGTTGTACCATAACATTAAATGTATAAGTTTAGGTTGTACCATAAAACAATTTGTACCATTATGTTATGGTACAACTTTACAACTTGAAGTTGTACCATCACATAAAGGTACAAGTTCAAGTTGTACCGTAAAAGAATTTGTACAAAAAGTATAGGTACAATCTGAAGTTGTACCATTACGTAAATGTACAATTTTAAGTTGTACCATAAAAGCAAAATCATATAGCACCAATACTAAATAGCATTGTAAAATCTCTCAAGAAATAGATGTATTGAAGATGAAACCTAATGGAAATAGATGTAGATCCAATGGACAATAAATGAACACAAAAATGGGAGAGTGGGGTAAAAGATGGAGGTTGAAACTTGCCCACCTGCGAGGAGGAGTGCGAGAACCACTAATAAATAGTAACACCAAACCTTTGCTTTTATATATTATTTAATTAATAATTAATTAATATTAATATATTAATGTCTGGGAGGCAGCTTGGGTACCAACCTTTGGAGGTTAATTCGAAGAGTTTGTAGGTGAGTCGAGTTCTCACGATGTTGCCCCACGAAAGTATGTATCTTCAACTCCAACGATGTGGCATTGGATGACTGGAAAAGGCTTCCAACGAAGAGTGGCAAGATCGTAGGGAGCTCGGTTTGAAGAATGTCTTGCAGAGTAATCCGAATCCGACTCGGACTAGGATTACTACTACCATGTTTTACCTTTTCTCTTTTGAGTTAGTTTTTCGTGTTTGATTGTGTTAAGGACTTCCAGAATAGTTGATAAGTTAGCCTAGGTCTATTTAAGAGTTTCAATTCATTGTAATCGTCAGATTTTAGCGGAATAGAATACAAACCCGAGTTAGTTCATAAGCCTGTTGCTTCGTGAGTTTGAGAGTTGTTTGGATCGAGATCTAGAAAGCTTTTGTGCTTGTATCGATCAAGTAATCACTTTGATCGTGGTCAGCTTCTATCTATACTTTTCGATCCTTCTTCCTAGTTTAAGATTTAACGAAAAGTTCCATGGAAAACTCTTGAAAACTACTATGTTCTTGGTTCGAGTTGGGGAATCGAGTTTGATCAATTCCTTATTGCGCAATTCTGGTCAAGATACCCATCTAGGGTCTCATCATCCTAACTTCCTATTAATTGGACACTAACGTTGTCGTAATAACAACACGTCAACACAAGAGGGGTTGTCACCTTATCTAGTCCCAACTAAATTATACTAAAAATACATTGTTTCAAGTTAAATTTTAAGTAAGAACCAGAGGGTTTGGTTGTCATGGCCCATGGGACACATATAAGTTTTAGTAAAAAATCTCTATTCATAAAAAAGATCAAAATAATAAATCTCTATGTATGCATGAGGAATAGATCGAACTCTCCAATTTAAAGTGAACTAAGAGTATTTTATCACTACACTAAAACTTATTTATTGTTTTTCGACTTACATAAATTAATTTATTACAGTACTATAAATGAAATCATCAATCAAAATAGTTAATATTTAAAAAAATACACATAATTTCAACTTTTTGCTCAGCCACTAAGGAAAAACGACAGTTCTATCTTGTGGCTAAATTACACATTTGGTCACTCAAATTACACAAAATTTTCACGTTTGCCACCCGAGTTACTTTTATTTCTTATTTGCCACTAACTTTATGAGTTGTTTCACCGTTAGTCACCGGTCGTTGAACTCCGTTAAATTTGTCTTACGTGGCAGTCAACTATAAAATTTGACCGTTAACTAGATGAGATGAAAATAAAAAAATGATTAAATTATTTTTACACCTCATCATTCCACCTACTTTTTGATTTACCAAGCACCGCCGCTGATCTGCTCCAGCTTCTTCCTCAGACACCTCGCATGAACCCGACCCCGCGACCGTGAAACAGGGCCAAAATCCTGCTCCAATCTAAAGGATGAAACACTGCCAGCGAATGCATCGTGAAATTCAAACCCGAATCCCGGGCGTCCACCACCCTATCCCGATCCCAATATGTCATATGTCTGAGCTGGCCCAACACCGATGCCCCTCTCCCTTCTTCGTTAGTCCTCTGCCAATTCTATTTCGCTCCAAATGCTTTTCTATGTCGATTGAATTCAGCGGCCGACAATGATGAATCGCAAAAATTTCCCCATCGGCTCGTGTTGGAGTCTGGGAAACAACCTACCATTAAACCAACATACCCACAGTTAAAGAGATGGAAAATGGTTCTTTTCCTTGACGTATCAGAGATTCGGGATTGAAAGAATTTCACAGAGCCACACAGAGCAAACCCATAGTACAATTATGCGAACTTTTGATAAGCAGACCTATGTTGTTTCCCCCACCCAAAGCAGCTAGGCTAGAGTTGCTATTTTGCTACTGGCTTCTGGAATTTACCTGTCGTTGTTGAGGTGAGAACATCGTCGGTGGTAGAAATGGGTCAACTTCTGCTTCTGTAAAAAGCTGCAGTACTAATCGAAGTATAATCTTCCTGCAAAGTATGATTGGATCCCTCGCCGGCGGTGCTTGGTAAATCAACGTAAGTGAAATGATGAAGTGTAAAAATAATTTAATTTTTTATTTCTTTTTCATTTTCATGCATCTAGCTAACGATCAAATTTTATAGTTGACTGCCACTTAGCACAAATTTAATAGAGTATGACGGTTAGTGACTAATGGTGAAACGATTCATAAAGTTAGTGGCGAACAAGAAAGAAAAGTAATTCAGGTGGCAAACGTGAAAGATTTGTGTAATTTGATTGACCAAACATGTAATTTAGCCATATCTTGCTCACGCTCGTTTGAAACGTTTATATTTTCCCACTGACCTTATTTTTGTATATATATATATATAAATTATTTGTTTCAGAGTGAAGATCCAGACTAGACTTCAAACCATGAAGGCCAACCCCCTCATTTCGGTACAAGAACCTCATTAACCAAACGGTCCAAATTGAGGGCCGACGATCCAGCTGGTCCAGTAGCTTTCCGAGCCAACTTCCCCCAATCCTCAGCCTTGTTCCTCACCTCCTTCCCCTTTTCCCCGTTCATCAACTCCCTCACGAGCTTCTCCACCGCCGTCCTCTTCACGTCCTTCTCCACCTCCATCCCCATCCCCCACTCCGTACACGCCATCCTGCAATTTATCAGCTGGTCGCTGAAGAACGGCCAGCAGAGCACGGGAACTCCGGCGGTCAAGCTCTCGATAATCGATCCCCACCCGCAGTGCGTCAGAAACCCTCCCACAGCCGGATGGTTCAAAACTTCCTCCTGCGGGCACCAACCGGAGATGAACCCGATCCTTTCCGCCTTCTCCTGGAATTCCGGAGGAAGAGCAGCCGATTCACCCGTAACCAGGTCGGGCCGGATGACCCAGAGGAAGGAAACGCCGCTGCTGGCCAAACCCATGGCGAATTCGGTCAGGTGCTGTTTCGACATCGTGGCGATGCTTCCGAAATTGACGTAGATTACGGAATTGGGTGGTTTGGTGTGAAGCCAGCGGAGGCACTCTGGCTCTTCCTTCCACAGGCTGTAGCTGATTGCGTCGAGGGTCGGGTGGGTGGATGCGATTTGGTCGACGAGGAGCTGGATTGGTCCGACCGAGTAGACCCGGCCAGGGTAGACGGAGTCGAGTGCGGCGAGGACGTTGGGTTCGAGGGCGTCGAACGTGTGAATTAGAATAGCGGAAGCTCTGGCCGCTGATTCAGCGAATTCCATTAGGCAGTGGAAAACCGGCTCTTCGGGATCCGTTGTCTGAAAGAAGCTGGGCAGATCACGGAGACGTATGTTGTTCATTCCCGGCACTTCTATTGCCGTCTCCAGATATCCATTCGTCAAATAGCTGTCGTCTGCCGGGGAAAAGAAAAAAAAAATGAAAGGGATAGTTAGTTTGTTGGAATTTCACCATCTTTTGTACAGAAAAAATGACCAATTTAATTACCTTTGAAGGGGGTGATGCCTCTTTGAAGCAGAGGGCGGAACTGCTTGAACCCCATGAACCCACAAGCAGCGAAGCTCCAGTAGCTCACCGACGAGATACCGAACTCTCGAGCCACGTCGACGGCGAAGGGCATGGTGTCCGTAATCACGCAGCTCACCGGAGGGTTGCTGTCGTTGTGGAGTTGGGCGAGGAGGTCCCTGAAGGGAGCGGACATGAAGTTGCGGATGGAGTTGCAGAGCGCCGCAATGTCCTGGGTGGCGTCGGGACGCGACGGTGGGAGTCCGTCGGGGATGGTGGCGAACCGGAAGTCGGGGAGGCCGTCGAGGGCGTGTGGACCTCTGGTGTGGAGGAAACGGCTGTGGTTGAACTCGGTGTTGACGTAAGTGATGTGGAAGCCTCGGTGGTGGAGGAGCTTGGCGAGCTTGAGAGTGGCCTTGATGTGGCTCTGAGCTGGGAATGGGATGCAAACGGCATGGGGCTTCTTCGGCAGCGCCGCGTCGTTCGAGCCCATTGTCTTGTCTTGTTTGGTTTTGTGTGCGTCAATTTGGGGATTGGATGGATGGGAAATGTGCTACTGTTAGCTAGATATATAGCCAACTCCTCTGGCTAGTACTCATCACTCATCAGTAGATCGATCCCAAAGTTAATTAAATAATAAACAAGAACTAACACTTATCCTAATCCAACTAGAACGACCACTAATAATAATTAATACTAATATTCCCAAATATAGACTTAATACGAACTAATATGAAAAGATACGCAAGCCCAATGATTTGCAAAATGTCACGATGACTCGATCACGATGACTCGAAGTCGTTGTCGCAACCGTCCCTCCGGGGGGTCCGAATGTCGTGTCGGCATTTTGGGAGTCACCATCGATCTTACTTGGAGTGGATCGAACACTCTTCGAATCGGCTCCAACCTTAGGGTCCGAACCGAGATATGGTCTGCGGTTAAGAGATATGGGTTCGGGAGTACGGTTACGCGTGGGGAAGTGAAATCACACCCCACAACGCCCTAAATCGGTACTACTTAAGTCGATAAGTTTTATATTAGTTAGGTGTATTTTTAGTAGTAATTTTGTAATTTTGGGGTCCCACTGGACCATTAAACCGTATTAGTTGTAATTAAATTATACGCCCACCGACGTAAAATTAAAAGGTAAAGTTAATTAATTAGTTGGACTCGAACCTTATCGGCTGCCTACGTACCCGTAACACGGGATCAAAGTCCACTTTGTTCGTTCGAACTTTGATAATTTAATTATAATCACATTCCACTAATCGTGATTTTTCGTACTATAATTTTGTTAATAAAACTTCATTTAGATTATTATGAGGTTGCTAACGTGAAAGTAAGAATTTGGACGTTAGGAAGAAATTCGATGTATCAGAAAAAGAAGCAAAACTAGCTTAATCCGTATTCAACATTTTGTATTAAGAACTTTAAAAGAATAAATTTAAACGGGATAGTTAAATTTTCGCATGATGAACCAGCAGCCCAACTGGCTAAACTGCTAGCACATGGCGTGTTCGCCCCTGATGACAAGGGGTTGAAACCATGTCAAGCATCATTTTTTGGTTTCTCGTATATATATATATGTAATTAAGTATGGCCTTTCCTTTCTCAACGGAGTTTTTTGGATGAATATTTTTCGTAACTAGCTTATAACCCGGCCCTTTAGCCGAAATGCTCATATTTGATTATTTGTATTTTTATGTTACTTTTAAGTCTATTAACCCGTTTAATCTTATTGATAATCATTCGATCGAGATGATACATAAAAAAATAATATATAGGTCGAACATTCGGAGAAATATCATAATCATTTAAGAATATAAAATATAAAAATGTATCATTGACCCCATTTTCATAATGCTAATTAAGTCCATGTTAAAATGCTATTGGTTAGTTTTTTTTTTTTTTTTACAGTCAAGAAATATAGAGTATAAAAGCTCACTGAAATTCTCACACGACCCATAGATAGTTTGAAACTAAATCTTAAACATCACAATCCTATATAAAGGGTTCAATGCTCTCCTTTTAGAAACAATATGTCACTGATCAAAAAGAAATGGAGAGTTGTTGATTCAAGTCATCTATATACTAAAAACTCAGCTAAGAGGAGACCATCACAACTTGAGAGCAAACGAAAAAATCAGGGTTATCTCCAATATACGAATAGACTCGATCAAAGTAATAAGGCGCAAAATTAGACACTCCTTATCTATTAGTTCCAGTAGGTTGAATAAAGAAGCGACCTATTTCAAATAAACAATCAATGATTCTTCGTTTTAAGATAGAAATAGGTTGTGACAGTTGCAAAAACCATAAACCTAAAGACCCAATAGCCACCACTCTCCGTTGTACAGCCAAATTTCTATCTCAAGAGGCATATATTCAACCAAAAATTCAATTTCTAATCCTCCTTCTACAACTCCAGTTATTGATGAACTCCATTATATTCGCCATGGATTGATATCAGAGTTGAAATCTTCTACTCGCCCAGCTTAAAATCCCCAACAATAAAACCGTAGTGCCAACAGATACCTGAAGATTGATTTTCAATGACAGTCTTGTACTGGGAAGTGAACGGCGCAAACTATTGCACGAAGGATGAAATTTCGGAGGAAGTTAGAAAGAGAAAAGAACAAAGATAAAAAATCACAAAATTTAAATTTAAATTGAAAAATGCAAGGATACAACACGTAGTTACATAATTAGTTTCTTCCATGTTAGCCAATTACCCATTTACCTTTAGCAAAAATTAAGGAGAGAGCGGGAATTTAAAATTGAGAAAATTACATGAAACTCTACTATGAAAATAGAAGTATCAAGCTCGATAAAAATACATACGGTAGACTTAGTGAGCTTGCTAATTATGATGAAAAAGTCCTCTGATTTTCAGAGATTAACTTTGTCTATGTTTTGTATCAAGAAGGATGCAATAAATTTGTTTAGTGTAACTGGTTGTAATTGTTATCTTTGTTTGAACAAACCCAGGTTCAAATCTTGATATTGCTATTTTTAAATGAAATAAATAATAAATGTGTAAAGACAAAAATGACCTTCCTACTTTCACTCTCGTTGCAGGAAATTTGAAACGGAGAAAAGTACACAAAACTCTACCATATATTAATGGAGGATTGTCTATAACACCATATCTACAACACAAGAGAAGCTTGTCAACATCAACAGGATATATATTGGAATGTTAAATATTTGCTCCTCCATTTCGAAAATGCTGCAACTAGCGGACAAATTAGACGCTATATAGTTAAAATTTTAACACAATATATATTGGAGTTTCAAGCATTTGAGTTCCTCCACCGCAAAAATGTTGCAGCGAGAGTTGATTCTAGGAGGGGACAAATTAGACTCTTCATAATTAAACCTAAAACATAAAATTCAATCAATTTTTTGGAATATCACACTAATTCTTACACTTTCCACCCTCCTCGATCAATTTTAAATGGCTCATATCTTCTTTATTTTGATGCGAATGTCAATAAAATACTTAAGAGTTATGAATATATCAACCACTTATTTTTCTTTAGCATCTTTTCAAATTTATTATTCACGGTTTACATATTAAGTAAGAATGATCCATGTAAAGAGAGAAGTGTCATTAATGTTACTTTTTACTGAGGTTGGTCTAATATCTCTCATATGGGGGAAAAAATCAAATATTGTGAACTTATAATTCACTTATATTTTCACAACAAGGAAGATGACATTTTGTGACGGAAAAGTCGTCAGTAAAGGTGCATATTTTCATCGCATAAGGGATTTAAATTCCGTCATCTATATCCAAAACCTCAGCTTGTCGCAAACAGGTAAATGCTTCTGCAACGGAATGTTCGTCGCTAATCATGGTTTCCTCGATGAAATTAGAAGATTTGATGACTAGAGTTTCAACTAGATTGTTGCTTCAGACATATATATTCGATAGAATAAATTTCAGGCAAATATACTTCACATTCTTTAATTTTTTCTATATTACCAATGGACTATTGCTTCTGAAAATTATATATTTCTCTCACTCTAAGTAATCCTGGAAACATAAATTATTCTGTTTTTACTTATCAAATTAAGTTTTTCAACTAATGGGCTCGACCTTAATGTATTTTATAAATAACATCACATTTGAGTCACGGTTGGTTACTCTCAACATTTGATGAATTGATTTACTATATTTGTACACTTCAAATTTATAGATTGACTTTTGTTTGAGAACTATTTCAATCGCAATAATTTAAATGCACCTAAGAGGTAAAAATAAAAATAATATTGAATGTAATCTATAAAAGGAGTATGATATGAAGAGAATTGTAATTCATTGATAAGGCAGTTTCTAATAAAATTATCAAAACAAAGAAAATTTCTCAAAATAATGGGCCTAGTTTATATATTTTCAACATAAATAAATGAATTAATTTCAGTATTCAAAATATTGGAAAAAATTAACGCATTGCACCTCGTAATGTTGTCAAACAAACATCTCCTGCATCATAAGTAAATAAATAATCTATAAGTAAATCACTTCGAATGAAAATAACAAGTATTTAAATGCATATGGTTGATCTTTCAAATATTTGATGTATGATGTATACATTGTGTATTGACATATTTAATGTTTTATAACGAGCTATATACAAATGATAATAGTGCAAATGATCCGCCTAAAATTAAAGATGTACTTATTTAATAACTATAACATATTTCCACCAAATTATAGCTAATTTGTAGAAATAGTTTAATTTCAATCAGGGATAGGGAGAGTGTAACGGATGACATCAAAAGAAGAAAATGAGTAAATATGCATTATAATTAATTTAGAATGAAATTTAGGCGGTTCGAATTGATAATAGTTGATCGAGAGATCATGCGTTCGAATCTTGGCGATCCAATTTATTAAGCACTTGATATCCGGATTTGTGAAAAATTTAAGCATATAAATTGGTTTTGGTTAGCATGGAATTGTTAGTAAATACTGAATACTATAAGATCCATTATTAAATATTTCCCACCAACTCGAGTTATTGATACTAAACGGTCTTGACAAAGAACACTATTCAAAAGCAAATATCTAACTAAATCATAAATAATTGTTTGATACATATAGAGTGATATTCTTGATAGTTTTGACATATATTTAATTTACCAATTTTTTGTAAATGCAAAATTATATTATGAATGATTTAAAAACTAATAAAATTATTTATCGTATATATTTTTTTTCTAAATGGACCCATCTTCGGAAAAATCATGGCTACATCCCTGATTGCATCTAGTAATATTGTGAAAATATATGTCAAATGAACAACTCTTGTATCAAAAGTGAAAAAGTTGAAAATAATTATTTGGCGGAAAACTCATAAAACAATTCTATATATCAAATAATCACACTATTAATTGCCTCCAAGTCAATATATTTAAAACAATAAGGGCACAAAAGAAATACTCATTAAACAAGAATATATATCAAATAATCACACTACTGCATCAAAATCCAAAATATATAAACGATTAGAACACAAAAGAAAACCTCATAATACAAA